TGTCCAGGCCTACACGAGATGAGGCAGGATAAAGAGGGATAATCCCCCTCGATCCCAAATCATTGAGGCCAATTTCTAGCCATGGAATAATGGCGCGCGCGGGTAGGGTAGTGCGGCTATGCAGCCTGGGATGCGCTTTGCTAAGGTGGCCCTTAAGCCCAGCGCGGGAGGGGAGGGGTCAGGAGGGTACGATGTAATTAAAGAGGTAGCGTGTATCGATAACATAAAAGTGAGGTTTTATGCCTAGAATAATATTAATAATACAGGTTATATATTACGTTTACGGTTAACGGATTTGTCAAGGTAAATCCTGGTATAAAAACTGAATTAACGAAATATTTGGGCCCTTATTTTTCATTAACTGCGCGTGATCAGTATTACGTTTAACGCATAACGTTCCATAAATTTTAGGCGGCCTAAAATCTCCCTATACATTGAATGGATGTGTCCCTAACTAAGTTCTATATCTTTTATTAATCCGATTCTATGTTCTATGCTCTCTGTAAGTTTATGCTTTGTGGCTGTCATTTCAAATCAAATTAATCTAAGTTAGGTTATTGTTTTTGATTTTCAAATTGTATGTTTTGATTTTTTTATGAATAAGAAAAAAATATATCATACAGGTTTATGTTGAATATATTATAGTAAATGTAATGGATTTCTTAGAAGTAACTGAAGATAATATCCAAGAACTAATTAAGGAAAGAAATAACTGTTTGCCGCCTTTATTAATATCCTTTTAATTTGTTTAATATGTTAGTACTATTATATATATGTGCTGTTACTTTTATTGTTTTCCTTTACTTGTATTTCACAGCTCTTTAAATGATATAGACAATTGTACAAAACTCTTGGAAAATGTAAGATTGTGTGCAAAATATTTTTCTACATACACAATATCGAATGTAGACCAAGAATTACTGCAACATGTTGTACATGCTGTAAAAAAAAGTTTGTTGAAGGTAATAACAGATATATTATTTGTTATGATATTGAAAACTTCATTGTTGCAGGTATACGATAATAACTTTCTTTTGTCTGATACAGTTGACGAAGAGTACGTAGTGAAAATTATAAAGGAGAATCTTCAAGCAAGTATTTTTTTTAAAGCTTACTATGTCTAATAGTTCATTTTACAATGTTATTATAGGTAGCTGCAGGTTTTATTCAATTTATAAGGACTATTTTGGAGTTCCTTGGTCAAAATAGTGAGATAAGTTTAAAAAATTTAAACAATACCTTGGCAAGTTTAGCACAGTTAATATCATCTACATTTGAACACTGTAAACATAGGTAATTATAATAATATACTAAGGTAATGACAAATTCAATTTTTTAAAATGTTTCGTTAATAACTTTTTAGTACTAATGTTTACAAACAGTCTTTCAATGTGGAATTGATGGAATTGTTTAGAGTTACACAAGAAGTACATTTACTGTTTCTTAAATTATTTGAAACATACATTGTTGTGAAAAATGAAGCAGACAATATCGAAGAGATTAAAACGCTCAGGGAGGGTAAATATTTAAATATATTTCTTTAAAAGAAATTATGGTTTTATTAGACTAGAAGAGAATTATTAGACTAATTAATATCTGTAATAGCTGTTTTACATTGACAATTTATTGATGAATAAATTGACGAAGTTCTTCATGAATTAATTCACAAATTTATTGGTAAACAGTGTGGTTTTACACTGCTACAGACTGTCAAGTTTTTTGACGCATGAATTACTTCTACCAAGGAATCAAAGAAGCAAATAAATTTCAAAAATGTCACCTTTCCACTCATAATTGTAGTGATACAACAGCGGTACCGTTTTGACACATAATAAAGTTATTTGACAGCAGATTTGGTGCATTACACTTGTCCAATTTCTTGATGAAGCGACTTCATGAATTAATTGATCAATAAATTGTCAATGTAAAACAACTATTAGATACAATAAATTTTATATGAAAGACCCACTATTAAAAGTGTTTAAACAATTGACCCTGAAATTTATTGCACATTATTCGGGATCACCCTGTACTTATATGTAGGTTTTATGCACACTGTTTAGCCAAATGATTTATAATTATTGCAAAAATATATTCGTAATTCAAACTTCAACCTACAAACAAAATTTTATGTTTTGCTTTAATTCTAATTTTATTTATACTACAATCAGTAAAATCATAAATAAAATATAAAATATCTCCTTATCTCGTAAGAGAACAGATTT